ACATAGCCCCGAAATCCATAGTGGGGATGAGAGCGAGATAGGACCCCGTAGGAGGCAGCGAGAGAGAGCGGTAGAAAACATAAGAGACCGTGACCCGTACCCTAGACATGAAGCCCCTAGGAACCGTGAGAGATAACCGAGGAAGGGACGGATTACGACGAACCCCCTAGAGCCTATAGACACCGAGATAGGATAAATGCCGAGGGTTCCGATTACGATGAGCCACCTAGGAGACGAGCCCAACCGAGATCGAGAGTTAGGGCCAACCGTAGGCGAGAGGCAAACGATGACTTAGACGATCCTTATCTAGAACCGCCCCGTGCTTATCGCGGATCAACCGAGCTCAAGCTCAAGCCTCCCCTCTTCCCAGGTAAAGTAGATCCCGAGGCGTATCTCGATTGGGAGCGACGGATGGATAACATTTTCGAGTGTTATTCTTATTCGGAGCGTAAGAAGGTGCAATATGCTGCCGCCCAATTGGCCGAAAATGCCCTCACTTGGTGGGATCGTAAGGATAATGAGTGTAGGCGAGGCCATTACGCTCAGGTCGAAACGTGGCGTGAGATGAAAAATCTCATGCGAAAGCGTTTCGTACCCCCTCATTTCCATAGAGATCTTCAACGAAGGTATAGGCGGCTAGCGCAAGGATCTAGGTCGGTTGACGTATATTACGAGGAGTTTGAACGTATTAGGAGCCGACTAGAGCTGGAGGAGGACGAAGAAACGGTTATGGCCCAGTTCGTAGACGGACTGCAGGATAAGATCGGCCGCAAAGCTGAGCGCCATCCGTACCGAGACCTTCAGGATCTCGTGCACCTAGCCGTGCAAATCGAACAACAAGAGAGACGTAAGTCTTCTAGGCTAGGAAAACCCCGGGCTTATGCGCCAGGAACCTCTAGTACTCCATCTAAGCCGACACCTTTTAGGAGAGAGGTCCCCGAGAGCCGAACCATACCCAGTTACCGGGACAAAGGAAAGAGTCCGGAATCTTCTAACCCGAAACCCCAGCCCGAACTTACCAAAGACACTCGGACACGCAAAATCATTTGCTATAAGTGTCGCGGGCGAGGCTATATGGCCAAGGACTGTCCGAATTCCCATGTAATGATCATTACGGACAAAGGGGAATATGAGTCCTTAGACGAGGACGAGGCTGCCGATTCCGACGCGGAGATCGAGTACCCGGACAACGGCGAGTTACTTATCACTCGACGAGTACTTAGCACGTTAGTAACTCCGGACGAAATAGCCCAGCGAGAGACCATCTTCCACACCCGTTGTACTATACACGGAAAAGTTTGTGGGATGATCGTCGATAGTGGGTCGTGCACGAATGTAGCGAGCGCGTACATGGTAAAGAAGTTAGACCTACCCACTGAGAAACATCCGCATCCATATAAGCTGCAATGGCTTAATAACAACGGAGAGATTAAAGTGACCGAAAGGGTCAAAATCCCGTTCAGTATAGGAAAATACCGAGACGAGGTTCTCTGTGACATCGTCCCTATGCAAGCCGGCCATATTCTTTTAGGACGGCCTTGGCAATTTGATCGGGAAGTGAAACCCGATGGTCGAGCCAATCAGTACTCTTTCGTACATGACAAGCGAAAAATTGTGCTCGCACCTCTAAGTCCATCTCAAGTTCACGAGATGCAACTCAAACTAGCCAAAGAACCCGAACCAAAGAAAGGGAACTTTTATGTTAAAGCTAGTCAGGTGATGCGTGCTGTTCGCCAAGAACAGCCGGTGTTGCTCTTGTTTTTCAAGGACCAATTGAGCCTCCGTACGGAGATACCGACCCTTAGTCCCGCTATCAGCCGGCTCCTGGAGTGCTATAGCGATGTATTTCCGGATGAAATTCCGGCGGGACTACCACCTATACGTGGGATCGAACATCAGATCGATCTAGTGCCAGGAGCACCTTTGCCAAACCGACCCGCATACCGGATGAACCCCGAAGAGACTAAAGAGCTCGAAAAACAAGTCCAAGAGCTACTAAGTAAGGGTTATATCCGAGAGAGCCTCAGTCCCTGTGCAGTCCCTGTACTACTGGTACCGAAAAAGGACGGGACTTGGAGAATGTGTGTGGATTGCTGTGCGATCAACAACATCACGGTTAAATACCGGCATCCCATATCCCGACTTGATGACATGCTCGATGGGCTAAGCGGAGCCACGATCTTTTCAAAGATCGACCTTAAGAGTGGCTACCATCAAGTTAGGATGAAAGAAGGCGATGAATGGAAAACCGCCTTCAAGACCAAACAAGGTCTTTATGAGTGGCTCGTTATGCCATTCGGGCTCACAAACGCCCCAAGCACTTTCATGCGGCTCATGAACCAGGTTCTAAGAGCCTATATTGGAAAGTTCATGGTGGTCTACTTCGACGACATTCTCATCTATAGTCGAGGTGAAAGAGACCATATCTCGCACTTAGAGCAAGTAATGACCACTCTCCGAAAGGAAAGTCTCTACGCCAACTTTAAGAAATGCTCGTTCTGCACAGACGAGTTAGTCTTTCTAGGCTTTGTGGTCAGCTCTCAAGGGCTGCGAGTTGATGGTGAAAAGATCAAGGCCATTCAGGAGTGGCCGACACCATCTACTATCGGACATGTACGGAGCTTTCTCGGCCTTGCTAGTTTCTATCGCCGATTTGTCCGAGATTTTAGCAGTATTGCTGCACCCCTTACCGCGGTCACTAAGAAAGACGTGGTCTTTGAATGGGGCAAGGCTCAAGAGCGTGCTTTTTCCGCTCTCAAAGATAGCCTCACTACCGCACCGGTCTTAGTTCTTCCGAACTTTGACAAAACTTTTGAGATAGAGTGCGATGCCTCCGGGATTGGCATTGGAGTCGTCCTTATGCAGGAGAAGAGGCCCGTGGCCTACTTTAGCGAGAAGCTCAGTGGAGCT